AAGAATCAGATGTTTATAGTTTTGGTATGGTTATGTGGGAACATACTACAGGCAAAAAACCATTCTACAATATTCCATATGATTATCACCTTGCAGCATATATTCTGGAGGGGAAGACCTCAAATTACTGAAGACACACCTCAATTCTATGCTGATTTAATGCAAAGATGTTGGGACCCTAACTCAGAAAATCGACCTAAGGCTGAAGAAATTAATAGTATTTTGAGAAAATATTATTCTTCTCATCCTCTAACATTAGAAATGGATATTATTAATTCTGCAGAAGTTAAACGTTTAGAAATTATCAATTCAAAAAAATATTTGTCAGATGAAAATGGTTATTATCATCATCCAAAATCATATTTTACAAGTTGTTCACTAAATGAAATTATTGAACAAGTTAATGAATTGAGGATTTTTAGTAAAAATAATGGTAATTATTTGATTGTTAATTTTAAAATTCAAATATTAACATTAACATTAACATTATTATAAATGGGGCATGCTGCAACAAAACCAAACAAAGTGAACATTTTATCATGTCATTTTGATTATTCAGTAGAAAAACGTCTACCCTAAAAGCAATAAAATTAAATAATATAAATAAGATAAAATAATTAGAAATGTGATAACTTTTATTATAAAGATATGGCATGAAAAATTGCAAGCTTTGTAAAGATATTTATTAATTAAAAATTTTTTTAATTTTTATGTGCAAATTGACTATAACCATGATGTAGGATTATTAACTTTTGCTATTAAATAATTTAGTAAGTTTTCATTATCATCATAACATAATGATTCTATTTCACATTTTTTGTTAGAATTTAGGATTTCTTGTATTTCATTTCTATTGTTTTAACAATTAATTTGATAACAATAGTGATGAATGATTGGTAATTTTATTAAAAAAATTAAAAAAATCTTTTTACCTCCAAGTTTCTGGTAAATATTCTTTTTTTAATAAATCTTTTGATTTTTTTTTATCATTACTTGTTAATTTAATAAATAAATTTTCAGAAATATTGTTACTAAATAAAAAATATTTGTGAAAATTAATTATTACATGTGGTATTAACTGTAGTAACAATAGTACAGTAGCATAACTTGAAAATTTTTATAATAAATAATAATTTTCTTACTGTTCTCTATCAATATGGTGTAAACCAATCCATTGTAAACGTGAGATTGCCCAATTTTTGTTCTCAAATAACTTTGTCTAGAAAGATTTTTTTAAATAATTATAACTAATATGTTTGTATTTATAATTATGATGTTAAGATGTTATTTTACTGGAGCACCATATTTGTACAAATTCAAAATATCAATGCCTAATTTAAAATGAATGAAAAACGAATAAATCACAATGATTTTAGTAAATAATCATTATAAAGTACCAAATATATATTTACCATAAGGATCGTTGTCAAAAAAACCTAAAATAGGAATTTCACTTTTTAGGTCACTAAGCAGTTTTATTAAATGCCGAGTTGCAAAATCCTTTTGAATAGAACCAAAAAATAAATTAATATTTCCTCTTTTTAGAAATAAATAAATTTTATATACATATTTTTATAACTTACAGGATAGCCTTTTCCCTATAAAAAATTTTTTTTAAAAAAAAGAAAGTTTATTATGTTATAATGAATTTTTTTCAAAAAGTTCAAGTTTGTATTTTTATACAAAACATTAATTTTTTCCTTTTTCTACAATACATTCATTGTTTGATCTTTTTACAAGAGTACATTTATCATTGATCCTTTTCTTTTTTACAATATATTTATTGATCTTTTTTTGCAAGAATAAAATTTGTTGTATTTTTATTTGATCTTTTTTACAAGAATACATTTGTTGTATTCTTATTTAATATTTTTTGATTTCCTTTACAAGATGTCTGAAACAACAGGAGAGACCGTTCTGGGAACACAAAAATTAACAGGAGGGAACACAAAATTTTAACCCATGCTATTTGTTGAT